TTCCTAGTCGGGATTGAATGTTTATGTATAGTCTATGCTAGAAACTTCTAGAAACTAGTTGTTGTTATTGTGTATCTCAGTTGTATTTTCATTTCAAATAACAATGCTTTTTTTTTTAAATAGATATTATTCATCTCACCACGGTCTATTAAGCAAAAATGATATGAATGTAGTGAATTTGGTGACCCATAAGTAGCACATAATGTACACGCTTCAGGCTAATCTAAAATTATAAGTGCCAAATATAGATAAAGCTATTTGAGACTTCTATTGACATAGAAATGAATACTAGCATTACTTAGAGATCTTAATAGTTGAAGCATAGCTGCAAATATGAGATAAAAAAGTTTAAGTATTGCTAATCGAAATTGGAATGACTGTTTTTGAGATATACTATTATACTCAAGACTAGGAATATAGCCAAGTAAAATTTTTGTATTTATTTTGTTGTGGCAGTTTAAAGGAATATTTTCTAGAGTCATAAATACTAGATATCTTGATGTTTTTCCTAAATAGTCACAGAGAGTAGCATCTGAGTAAAGAATGATTGGCATAATATATGCTCCAATTGGAATGTTTTGCTCTACATTTTTCTACTAGTCAGAGTCATACATATCTGAATATTGACACTGACCTGTTACTTTAAATCATGAAATCAAAAGTTAATAATTGTTTTTTATTTATTTACACTTATTTATTTTATTTTATTTTTATTGATAATTTAATATTTACTTACGTTATTAACAGACAACTTAAATTTGAATATAAATTCTTCAGTAATATTTTTGTTGAGTAAGATTTGATGTATCCTGTCAAGCACAGTCCTGAATTCAAGGATGTAATCTAACTCTTTATACCTATATATAACTTCTTTTCTCCATTCGAAGCCTGGAAGTTTGAGATTTTTAATAAAAGTTTTCCTAACTTGTAATGTTGTTGATAGTGGATAATCATTACAATTCAAGTATTTATTGAAAAATCTTATAAAAATATTTGCAAATGAATCTTGCATATAGAACTATGTTACTATATTCATAAATTCAGCGTATTTCTCTGATAGGAATTCCTGATATATGTTTTCAGAATTCTTTAACTTTTCAGAAAACAAATGATCAAATTCAATATATTCATTAGCATCAATATCTGTAGTGTCTAACAGATCAAATATTATATATTCATCATCAGATGTGTTACTGCTTTGAGAATCATTTGTAGAACTAAAAAATTCTATATCTTGTCCTTCAGTAGGTTCGTTATAATTTAAGTAAGCACTTTTATGGTTAAAAAGTAGTACATCAAAGTTTTTTCTTATACAGTCAGACCTCGATATAATCACCAGGTTGGGATACAAAATTTTGGTGATTATAAAAAGTTGTGACTATATAA